TTGCTGGTAGCAGCGACTGGCTCGGATTTCAGGTTCTTCGTGGTGTATTTCCGAAGTTCGTCCTTGTGGTACTCACTCGTCTTGCGGTTTTTTTGCCGGGCTTGGGATAGGACTTGGTTCACGGCTCGCCAGGAGTTTAATAAGAAGCGGGATAATCCGCCATCCGTGCCTTCTTATCGGGCAACTCGGCTGAGAAGCTGCCAGGGTCCACACAGAGTGAAGGGCTATGAGTAAAGTGCGCAACACCTCCACCAGAACATACAATGACAGTTGAGCATGGCCTGGAACTTTCCAGAATAGTAAATATTTATAGAAAATAGGACTGGAGCAAGCATCCGTGACATTATAACAAAACAGACAGAAGAGGGTCTATCCTGACCACTAAAGCTGCACTGCTTTAGTAGCACTCTGTCCGAATAAATCCTCTCCTTCGGGGTTTGGCGACTGCCGTGGACAAGCTGAACTGAAATGGATATGAGACCACTTTTCTGGTAATGAGCCGCTGCAGACTGTCGTCGCTAAGCGGCGTGAACGGGTGGACTGGGTAGATAACACGCGCGATGAAATGTCCATACAGCTTGCGATTCGCGTAACGAGTGTTGACGAAACTTTTGTGCAGACGAAACGTGCGACAGACCAGCCGAATCAATACCAACTGCAACACCTGTGCTCCGTGAAAGTGCACGTCTACGCCAGAACAATTTAGGAAGCAGCACAGCGTCACTGAAAGTGCGGCACAGGAACTAGCAGCTTGAAGGCAGCTTTCCGGTGCACCGCACAACCAAAGTGAGCCTTCGGTCATTTGAACAAAGCGGCACCACGACTGCTCAGTGCCAAGCACGACTCACGTGATTTCCGTCGGAGAACTGTGTATCTGAGTATATTACGCACGCTTCACTGTAGACCTCGAAGATTCCGATGGCCAACGAGAGCACAAAAAAATCGCCTTAAAATTTATCAATCCGAATCAATCCGAGGTCCGAGCAACGTAGGGCCGATTGTCTCTTCCGTGGTTGGTCACCAGCGAAATGCACACCGTTCCTCCGTGTTTTTACATCATACCTACGTCAGACACCACACTGAACTCTGAAGTTGTTTTCGGTGGGCGTCATATGACGGTTTCCGCGTGTGAAATCAACTCGCCGAGACGAACGACAACGAACAAAGCATCCGACAAGCTCCGGCCAATGCTCCGGCCCAGCTGGGGCCAGCCGCTGCCTGGGCGCTGCCATCTTTCCTGTGACGTCACGTATTTGGTTTGGTCACGTGACGAGTGGTCAAATTTGCGTACAATGGCAGCCGCCTTATGGGGGTCACTTTCGAGTGCAGACCGGAACCCCGGTTTATCGCTCGAAGCCCCTCTACCTCGTTGCACAAGCTGCGCAATGTGCAGACGACCGACGTATACGGTCCGATGGAGCCAATCAAAAAGTGTCAAAAGTGCATCGTCACGGCTCTCATCGTCTTTGTGCGTTTTGCCCATCACGCGCAGGAAATGCGCAATGATCCGGCTATTTTTTTTTCTGCGTGTGATTGGTCTAGCCGGTGATATAGCAAAACGCACAAAGACGACGAGGGCCGTGACGGTGCACTTTTAACACTTGTTGATTGGCTCCATCGGACCGCAACGTCGACTGCGATCGGACATAAAGTGAAACGGAGTATATACACACTCTCAGAAACAGGGTAAAGGGGGTGGGGGGTGGTACTTACATCCCATGTCTCCATAAAACATCCCAAAACTACATTTCGACGTTCATAATCCACCGACGTCGAACTGACGATGCCAACTTGTACGAGCGGCTTGATAGCTGTGTGATATATTCCTTACTAAATAGCTAATGTACCGTATCAAAGACCATACAGAAGAAAACACACACACACGAGGTTTCTTTGGCCAACAAAACCTTGAGTGCTTTCCTGTAGTCTCTAATGCGTACATTAGCTATTTTAAAAACTCGCCGAAGACACTAGACCTAGGAAAGCGAGAGCATTTCTACAAGCAGCGCGCCACGTCCTCCTCTAGCGCGCGGCACTCCGGCGGTGACATCACACTCCCTCACGGCGCAGGCGCGGCGAGCCTCGTCGGTTTCACAACGGCTTCCGTGACAAAGCATCTGCTTTGTTCTGCTTTTCTTTGCGTTTAATTTCGGAGGCACGTCCGCTTTGACCTTGAGCGCCCCCGCCGGCTACCGTGACTAAGCACCTGTGTGGCTGTGCTCTTCGTTGTGTTTTTATTTCCGAGGCGCGTGCTCGATGACGTAATTTTATGACCATCTTTCGGGGACAACGCCGACGGCTTTTCGGACAAGTAAGGCTTCCGCATTCATAATTTGTATCACTCGACTCTGAAGCAGCTCGTGAAAGTTTACTGCGTGAAAGCCTGCGTGTACTGCGTCCACTCGCAGGCTGAGACTGGCCGGACCAATCAGCTGCCTTCTTTTCATCACGTGACCCGGCTCTCTGCGCGTGGACCGGAAGCGTGATCACGCGGCGAAAGAGAGACGTTTGACTGATCCAACGGTAGGTTCACCATAATCCTAAAAAAAAAAAAAAAGGAACGCAAAAAGAAAATCAAGGCTAGAAAAAAAATAAACCTCTATTATGATTCAGTTTAAGCTAAAAACGCCCTTCTTTTAACGTTTTCGTTGAGGTTACGAGTGTCTTTCTTTTTGACTTTTAAAGAATTGGGAGGAAATGTAGCCGATCGGACGCACGCCAACTCCTGATATATAGAAAATGTCTCATGTACACACATCCATCAGAACAAGATGTATTGTCAGATGTAACCACAGAAAGAGATTGGAATTGTACTTATTGCCAGCAACATTTTAATATCGTGTTTATTTATTTATTATGATCCTACCAGCGAATATTGTTTTGGGTTTATTCCGTGGACGACTAATTTCTCCTGAAAACAGGATGTATTGAGACTTCTTTGAGACAGAAATGACGGGACGCCAGAAAGAAATCTCTAAAACACTAGTCGGGTCAAAATGGGACCTCGTCTGATCACCCTATCCAAACGAAGACGTAGCCAAAGTTGTCAGGTTGGGCTATAAATGGCCCAATTAGGCTACTTATTTTTGTAGTTGGAGGAGGAAAATCTGGTGGTTGGCTATTCGCGCTATAAGTTTTGGCCATTTCATATTGGAGAAAGTGTTAGGACGATTCGAGTAATTTCAGAGCACTTGGTCTCAAAGCCTTAAACACGGTATTTTTCAATCAGGTAGGAAACAACGATCAATTTAAGAGAGTACGGGTGGGAAAATATCCAAATCGCCAAGCTTGAAAATATAATAACTGGGGCCCCATTGGTGTTGGCCGCTCGCGAAAACGCAATTTTTTTTTTTGGCTCGATTTAATACCGCAAGTAATGTTCCCGTGCTTCGCCATTGGTCCTTGAAACTGGTAAGGTTTGATCTTTTTTGCACGCTTTTGTAAAAACGCGTATTATATGTCATTAGTGTTCCGAAGAGATGGTTCAAATAACCTTGTATAAAGTTTTATGCTTTGGGCTATTTGGGCAACTTCTATAGCCCGACTATTTTGGGCTATACCTCGCTAACAATTTGGTGGGTTAATCTGCGTATACGTGTCATCTCTGGTACGCGGCGTACAGATTGAAAAAAAAAAAAAACAGTGTCAGCTTTAAAATAAAAAGAAAAAAATATACGCAAACGTTTCTTTTCCTTTTTTTTTTTTTTGGGGGGGGGGGGGAGAGGGGGTTGGTTACAAAGATGAACATCCGGAACAGCTGGGACAAGATTAGCCACCTTCTCTATCAAAAGACGCAGGAATAACAGCAGAAAAAAAAAAAGATCTGAAACACTCATAAGATAAATTAGAACCATTAGCATGAATAATTCAAAGCCAAAAAGTAAAAAAAAAAAAAAAAAGATAAAGACGTTTTTTGGTTGAAGACAAAAGTTAACTACGTCATGATGAGAGGTGGCTACGGCTGTGGTTAACTTTAATAGGACACTTCCAACATTCGGTTTGGTGTGCGCCATTCCGTTTGGAAAAAAGTGTTCGGCCTGATGAAAGTTGTGCAGGGGTATGATCGTGCGTGTGTGTTTAGGGGAGATGGTCAGTATCACGCCAGTGGGGTTGTGGCCTGTCTAAAGTTTTCCATTCGAAACCAGCCGCGTTTAGAATGTGTTCAGTTTCGACGTGTGGGAAAACAGTTTATAAATCCAAAATGATCTCTACAAAATTAAAAAAAAAGAAGAAGATAGGATAAGAGAAGGAGCAGCCTATTACCGTTTGCATGTCGCAGCAGTCGCGGTCATATCTCGTTAAAGTGGACATTCCGATATAAAACAACATTTTTGGGAACAAACGAACTTACTTTTTTTTTTGTATTTTGAACGACTTATATTATGGTAAATGTTGGGGATAGAACAAAGGTGTCCATTTTAACGATACGACTACTTCCAAAAAGATACATTGTTTCTGGTGCCAGTTTTGCTAACAAAGAAATGCTCCAAAAAACATTTGAACTTCGAGTGCTTTTCTGTTTTTAAAATGAAGAATTAAAGTGTAAATCCCCAAACTGCAAATTGCAAAAATAAAAACCGCCGATCGCGTAGTCTCCAAACCGAGCGAAGAGCACGAAAATAACCAGCCGAAAATAATACTTCCTCGGGAACAAGTGATCAGAAAGTTCACACCAAGGCACCCCTTCAACAGTCTATAAAAATAGGTCGGAGCACCTTACACCGAAAAGAGCAAAAACGACCAAACCAATTATTGGATCACGCACACGAAACCCTCGTTAGAATCCCGTTATTCCATCGCGCGCGCGCAAAACGCGCGCCAACTCTCGCCGAATGCCGTTGGTCATCTGCGAGACTTCGTGAGGAGCACGCGAAAGCTCCCCGCGCGTGACGTCACATCTCACGTGACCAGCACCGTCGCCGCGCAGGTAAAGAAAAAAAAAAGAAAAAAGAAGAATGCTCCATCGGAGCAGGCGGGCAGCAGCAAGCAGGCCAGCTTACGTGAGGAAGATGGCAATTGCATTGGCCTTGACGTCCTTGCGAACGAGCGCCCAGGTGTCGCGCACTAGGCCTTTTTCACGAGGCGTCAGCCCCGTCTTGGCGTCGGGCACGTCCTGCTGACTCGAGACGATGCTCCCCATTGCAGCGACGGCGGCACAGCGCCTAGATCACGACCCAGGCTCCAGCGGAAGAACTCCATGGAACGCGCAGAGCGCCCCTGGTTATATCACAGCAGACGACGGTTGGGGAAGAGTGCGCGCCGACGCCATTGGTCCGGGCCCGGAACGTGACGTAGGAGGTCGCGTGGTCTGACGTCACGAGTGACGTATGGGGGAGGTGGCGCTACCTGTCGTTGGGGTGTTCAACTAGCGGGGAGGCGCGTGTTTTTGTCTGCGTGTACCGAAGCTCATAGTTTGAGGCCCCTGCCTTAGTGCAGACGAAGTGTAGATTGGACGAAATTATTTATTTTTGAACTAATAGTAGTGGCTCTGTGCATTCCATATCGATGCGCGGCTAAGGCATTTGGGACAAGGAGGAAAAGTTTTACATATTATAAAAGGTAATTCACCCGATGTTTTACATCTGTAACTGCTATTGCTTGACGAGAAATAGTTATCAGTAAAACTGCCAAAGGGAAACACTTGATATGCACTTTTAAAAGCCTTCGTTAAATTATATGCAGCTTCAAACTAATACAAATTTGAAGTTATGTTAATTTATAGTAAGGTTTTAATTACAGTGTCGATCCTTTGTCCGATACACTAGAGTATTTAATTTAAGAATACTTAATTATCCCATCTTCATTATTTATGAGACCAATATCGATATGTTACCGTGAAAGAATGTACATATGGAAAGCAAAACCCACCCCAAACATGTTATGTTTAATTATTTTCATCGGTTGCTACTGATATTTTCTTTCTTTTTTCTCATACGTTCTTCCACTAAACAGCAATATAAAAAAAGAGCCCATGGAACACCAGCAAGTATTGTAGACAAACTCTATTTTTATAATATTTTTAGAATGCCTAGGCATGTGGACGCATCTATTTCTTAACTATATTTTGGGAGGCAGTTTTAGGTGCATGCATAAATACAAAATATGGCAATGTACGAGGCCAAGAAAGAACATAGCTGTTCACAATGTGGAAACAATTAACATAACCTGTGTTCGCTCAAAGGGTCACTATCATACCATAAAGCATATTGGTAAAACTTTGGGAATAAAGCTGGTAACCTGAAACCATAGATTGCTTTTCTAACGAGATACCCTCACATGAAACCTCAGACGGATGTTGAAAAGCTCCACGCGGAAAAGAAGAACTGGAGTGAAGATGTATTTGCTGACTTTTGCTTAAATCGCTGGAAGACCAGATATCATCAAGTGCAATGAAACTTGAAAGTCATTGCTCTGATTCTATGTGGGCCCAAAAGTTTGATGTTGTGAGGTTGTCCTTCCTTAGTGAACTGTGTTGCCCAGACATTCTATAAAGATAGTTAAATTCGTTCGTTAACTAATTTATTTTTTTTAAATTATTTTACGTGCTTACCAAAAGGGCCTTTTTCGGTAAAGCACAGAAGTAGTACACACAAATACAATATACGGGCATACTTATGCCCCATTCTCGGATTCCACCCCACAATGTGGAGTATGTCACCCACACTCTCCCTCCGGACGGATAGATGGACGCATACGGTTGAACCATTAAATCGGGCGGCAGTTTGCGTCACCTAGTCAATGTTTTTAATATCGACTCTTAACGCAAACCTAATACGCAACTTGTGCTAAGCCTCACCTGGCGGTGAGTTGGGAGACGTATGTGTGTGCAAAGGCGGGGGGGGGGGGGGGGGGGGGGGCAGGGTGTATAGATCACTAATGGATCCTGTACCTACACCGTACAAGCCAAAAAGATTGATAGGGGTACTATACAAGACAACAAAGGTAGGTTCGGTGCTAATAGGAAAGAGGCACGGGGGCGCTGAACCCACCTTTTGGCCCTTTTTTCCCCATCCCATGACGTCACGGTTGGTAGGCAACTAAATATTTCTGAGAAGGCCTTTTCACCGTTGCTGCGATCGGGGTGTTACGGATGAAGAGGTTGAGTGGTTTGAAGAGGGATCTTCCGCAGCACTCCGCCACGACCTAACCCAGGCCAAAGCTCAACTTGGAGTGTGTGCGGTGGTCCCCAGCAAAAAGCACCTTTCACCCCCCCCACCCCCCCCCCCCCCCCCCCCCCTGAAAAAAAAAAATCTTTATTGAGAGGTAACGTATTTTTTAACAAGTTCACGGCTGCGGATTTTGACATGCCTCCATGTACTGACCTACCATATTCGTACTTACTGGAGATAACTGCGATATACTTATTTTGAAAATAAATATAACTGCAAGTATTTGCGTCACAACATGATTATATGTCAAGTCTTGCTTGGCCAAACGCATTGACCTGGCAAAAAAAAAGAAAAAAAGGTTGCCACAATTTTTTTTCTTTTTTTTTGCCGCGTTGATGTGAACAACGATACAAGGACTATCACTAAAGACAGGTAACATTTTTATAATATGCATATAACAAGTAAGTTCTCTCGTCAGAGGATGTACATGAAAATAACTCAATCTCACATTTTAGTACGATGTAATGTTTAAATGACAACCATTTGATCAATAAGAAAGGGTCGTACCCAAACACTTTCAATACAGACGTGTTTCATAATAGCATTTGTTTACAAATGGTATGACAGACAAGCGTTTCCAATTATAAATGACAGCTTTGAAGTGATACTCGTAATATTCAGTGCACGGGCATAGAAATAATAAATAAACGAGACAATGCTCGGACACCCGAGTTGTTCATGGATGGTTCCGGACATTTCATCGAATGCCGGTTCCTCGAACACCGTTTCATCAATGCAGATTGTTGGGCTAGTTTGTACTGGGAATTTGACGTCATGATGGCGCTTAAGACGAGGACAAAAGGGAGACAGACAACACGGAGCGCTCCGTGTTGTCTGTCTCCCTTTTGTCCTCGTCTTAAGCGCCATCATGACGTCAAATTACCGTTTCATCGACGCCGTTTCATCGAACGCCGTTTTATTGAACGCCATTTCATTGAACGCCATTTTATCGAAGCCGTCTCATCGAGAACAGCCTAGTTTAGCAGTACGAATTTTCGATATAGGAAATAGTTTAGTTTACCGCAAGGATAGCAGTGTTATGATAACATCACAATTTATAAACCCTAAACTTTATATTGCCACTGAGTGGGGAACCAATAATAAGAAACTATCTTCTCCGCTACTTCTTTTCTTTTTTTTTTTTTTTTGTCACAGCAACTGATGACTTGTGCTGTTAATCTAAACAATAAAAAAACACGGGAACACCGGTTTGACATTTTCTTTTAACTTGTGATCATCCGAGAAAAGACGTATTTTGCTTCAAGCACAAACCCGTCCTTGATGCAATGACCTTTCTCCATGTCGCATAAAACAAAAACAAAATGATGCGTCTCTCCTCTTTGTTCATATTCCGTGATCGGCAGCACCGTGGACCTGTCGGCTTCCAACCTACGTTCTTAGAAAGTAAGCGATTCTCCTAGGATAAACACAAGTAAATAGATAAATACAAAAAAAAAAAATCCGCAGCTAAGAATAGAATGTTTTTCTTTTGGGGGGAGTACCTTTCATGTGTGAACAAATACACTAAGTCGCATGCATACCCACTCGATTTGTGTTGTGTCGTATGATTCGGTAACCAAAAATTTAGGTGACAAAGTGATCAAGGTAGTTATTCTATTTCTGGTGATTCGACAGCAGCATAAAAACTCAGAAGAAAGAGTATAGAACATCGAAAGACCACTGTAATACTCCGAAACAAGGTGAAGCGGAATTCGATGATACGGCGTTCGATGAATCCTCGTTTGATGAAATGTCCCCTTATTCGACGAAACGGCGTTCGACGAAATGTCCGGTACCAATGCATTGTCATTCAGTGGATGTTACAGGGGTCAGTGGTGTCACTAAGGGGGGGGGGGGGGGGGGCGGCGGACCGCCCCTGGTGCAGTTGGGCAGTGAAAGGGGGGGGGGGGGGTGTCACTGCGGGCCACCGCCCCGGGTGTTGCGGTAGTGACGCCACTGACAGGGGTGCACGTTTTAGAGCGCAGCTCTTAGGGGCCCGTTTCCAACCTGAGCGGCGTCGGCGTAACTGGGGGGGGGGGGGGGGTCACGTGACCCCCCCCTCCCCCGAGATCACGTGATCCCCCGGGGTCACGTGACTACCCGCAGGTGCCGTGACCCCCCTCAGTACCCTTCCCTACTCCTCCTCAAGAGCTGCGCTCCAATTCGGCGTTACAGGGATTTGTAAACGGCTTTCATTTTTTCTTTCGCATTAAAATATTTTTCCACTCTTAAAGAGCTAAACGGGTATATCAGATGCGTACACCAATAAACCGTTTTCAAAATTTAGTGCCGTCTGGTGGCTCAAAAGGCAGTTCCACTGTCAACAAACTAATGACGGTTATGGTACTGTATTTCGTCGGGCACCAACACTTTCACACGTCAATGGCGGATGAAAACTGATTCTATGATCACCTCATAATTCTCTCTTCATTCGTTTCAGTTGTGATCAAGTGAACATAAGAACTGACCAAAACAAGGCGGCAAACCTTGGTTAAATAGCCATCAAAAGGCTTTAGAGGCAAACTCCTGCCAAGAGATGGATTAGTCCAAACTCAGAAATAAACCCGTATGCTGCCGTTGTATCTAATTCGTGCGATGCGTTGCACTGACGGCATGAACCTATACATGCCTCATGTATCCTCCGCTTGGTTCCAACTTCTTTCTTCATCATCCTCAAGAAGGCCGCCGTTGTTTTGGCACAGATACACTGAGATGATGATAGTAATCGAAATTGCCAGACTGAATTTAGAGACGGGTCTATTTTCGCTTCCATTCAGCCCCCCTTATATCCAGTAATGCGCCCTTTTTAAACGCAAAATAAGGTGATGTTGCATGAAATACCATTCATTTTCGAAGGGTGTACAAAGGGTGTGGAAAAGGGTGCTATATGGTGTAAGTGAGCGTTCACCTACTTCAAACATCTTTAAGCGAGGTTGTTTCTACGGCTATATGAAATTCTTATTTTCTGTACCTATGCTGCTGTCGTAGATATACATCTTCCGACACAGCGCGTAACCAATTTTTTTGGCCGTTTTTTATTTAAAAGAAAAGCGGGGGGGGGGGGGGGGGGGGTAGGTGGCTGGTGTTGACTTGGGTGCTGAGGGGGGTGGGGTGAGGGTTCAAAATTCATGTGTATATTATAGAGACGG